ATCTATGCTAAGCTACAGCTAAAAGTGCTACCGCCAGACCTGGAGATCGGCTGAATGGATACGAAAACGGTAAAACTCAACTGTTTAACTCTAGGGGAGTTGGAAAATGAGCCTATTTTCAAAAATAGTGGAGTGTTCCTTTAATGTATCGTCGGGAGACACGGGTATTCATTTTGTGTTGCCTGATATATTTTTTTGACTCTCAAGCGCCGGTAGACATTGACTTGCATTTTATGAATCACCTGCTAAAAATCTTCTTTACTGTTCTACTGAAGATTAAAAGTCACCTACATCTTGGATGGCTTAAAGGGATAGATAGTTCACCCAAAAATTACAATTCTGTCATTAATTACTCACCCTCATGTCGTTCCAAACACGTAAGACCTCTGTTCATCTTCGGAAGACAAATTGAGATATTTTTGATGGAATCTGAGAGCTCTCTGACCCTGCATAGACAGCAAGGATCCTTACACGATCAAGGTCCAGAAACATAGCAAGGAGATCGGTAAAATAATCCATGTGACATCAGGGGTTCAACCGTAATATTATGAAGCTACAAGATTACTTTTTGTGCACAAAAGAAAACAAAAATCACGACTTCATTCAACAATTCGTCTCCGCCACGTCACCCTGGTGCCATTTTGGAGAGTATCCCCTTGCTGTCTATGGAGGGTCAGAGAGCTCTCAGATTCCATCAAAAATATCTTAATTTGGGTTCCGAAGATGAACGAAGGTCTTACGGGTTTGGAACGACATGAGGGTGAGTAATTAATGACAGAATTTTCATTTTTGGGTGAACTATCCCTTTAAGGGAGCATGAGTAATACTGCACAGGACACAGGAATCTTGAACTTCAGATGCAATTGGGTGATGACCAATTAGAAGCGATCTTCCTAAACTGCAATCAGCACCCGTGTGTGACTTTGTGACAAACCCTGCTGTTGATTAATCACAGCGAGCGAGAGCCGCTCTCCTGGGTAGGGCATAAGAAACTTAATCAAAAGCACTAATAACGAGAGAAAAATTGAATTCTGCACAAAGAGAGAAACATATGTTGTGCAAGGACATGACAGGTCTCTGTGGTCAGACAGGGAAGGAGGTCAGGGTGCCGCCCTGATATCCGGGCCATTTGGAGGTCAGTTTTAGCAGACGTGTTCAAAAGGATGTTCTGAAAACTCCTAATCCGAATCCTGCCAGCGAGGCCCACAATTACTGTCAGTCCGCTCTCAGCGGCAAGCTAATGCCTTAATTATGATCTATTTAAAAGGAGCTGGCAGTCTGAGGAGAACTTCAGGGATCCTGAAGAAATGTTAAGGAAGTAGATTTTCAGCTGTTATGGATGTCTGTTTGTCTTAATTCCATTATTTAATGTACCTGTAACAGCAGCTACAGTAGAAAAATCTAATTTCTCATTCCTGAAACACCAGCAGAAAAATATTCTGTGTAAAACTTTCATAAAACCATTTAGCCTCATGCGACAAATGCAAGCATTCCACGTTAAACTTCAATTAAACAAACAATTTACATAGGAAAGATTATACAAATGATTAACATAGAAATTATTTATTCTTATGTTACAAGATTAGTGTAGAAATTAGCTCAATTTAGCATTTTACTTGAAAACTAAAATTTTCATAAGAATGCTTTAATGAATGATTTACATTTAGAAATGTGTTGTTTTACCAAAATAACAAATCATAAAACATGAGCAAAACAAGTTACATAAATAATTTGTAAAGCCATTTTTTGTTGCAAAACGTTGCAAGTAATAATGATTTTATGGTGATTTTTAATGTACAAAAAGTTAGCTGGATTTCAAGTTCAACACAAACAACATTTTTGTATAAATAGTATATCGAACGGTTAGCTCAGTTTAACTTTTAACATGTGAAACATGAAAGAAACAATTTGCGCAATAATGGTTTATTGACAATTGTTAAACTTAATCAATTCACATGAATGCAACAATTTTTATAAGAATTGTTTCATTAATTATTTCCATTTAGAAAGTGATTATAGTGATTTATATTGTATGAAAATTATCCTCATCTAGAATTTTAGATTAAAAATAAATGCAATTTACCGCAAAATTGCTCCGTTTAGCATAAATAATAACATTCATAAGAACGGTTTAACAAACTATTTATACAGATATTAACTCAGTTTAGCATTTTACATAATTATGAATACAACATTTATGCAGAAATTTAGAAAGTACAGTAAAGTTGCACACTTAACATGAACAAACATTTATGCTGGAATACTTTTTACAAATAATTTTTACCCAAAAATGTATTTCTTAACCGTTATACAGATTCAACTAATGTTTTACGAATGTGGTCAAAAGTTTGTAGAAAAAAATTTAAAATAATTATTTGTCATGGTGCACTTTTGCCTTTTTAAAATAAATAAGCACTAAGAATGAATGCAAGACTCACCCCCGGTAAAAACGTCAGCTTATTTCCATCCATCCACAGCTCTCTGATTCCTCTAAGCTGCTCCAACACTTCAGGCTGGAGAGAAAGAAGGCAAAATTAAATTTCACATCCTCACTGAGAGGAAATCCGCCACTACTTCCAATGAATAGCATTAGAGGACAAAAATGCATATTAGGTGCAGTCTAACAGATAAAGACTCGATGAGCGCATCTGCATTCACTGCCGATACATCTGACACTTGGCTGCACTGAGAGCTGGAAGGTAAACGCAGGCTGCAGTAATGCATGTGACAGCTGAAAGACAGGCAGGTGCTACTCACCACTTCAGTGAACTCATTACTGCCCAGATCCAAGCGCTCCAGCTGTGTGAGCTTATGCATGCTCCTGCAGACACACACACACACACACACACACACAGTATTACTAACATTAACCACGGATTAAACACATTTAAGCTTTGTACATAAACACATCAGAGCATTCATTGTTTTGTTTTTTTTGTAGGAAAACGTCAGACAGGCTGGTCACAACCACAACTTTTCTTGTGCACAATGGCTCCCAGAGGCAAATAAACGGCACACAAAGACATTTATCGAACAAGTAGTTACTGCTAATCTACTTTTTTTTTGGCAGTTTTAGAGCAATGTTAGACTTCAATCCCCAGTTTCACATAAAACCAGAGCCAGTATATAAACTGAATAACTAAAAAAAACCAGTAACACTTTAGTATAGGGAACAATTCTCACTATTAACTAGTTGCTTATTTGCATGCCTATTATTAACATATCGACTGTTTATTAGTACTTATAAAGCACATATTCTGCATGACCATATTCTACATCCCTATAATCCTACACAATACCTAAACTTAACAACTACCTTACTAACTATTCATAAGCAGCAAATTAGGAGTTTATTAAGGCAAAAGTCGTAGTTAATGGTTTGTTAATAGCAAGAATTGAACCTCATAATAAAGTGACCAAAAAAAAAAACACCCAAATATATTCTCCAAGATCATGTTTATACCTAGAGGTCAAGCTATGGAGTTTAAAGATGTTCAGCAGCAATAAATTAATAGCAATAAAACATTAAGTCAATGCATTTTACCTCTACTGTAACTTTAACTCTTTCCCTGCCATTGACAAGTTATCTCGTTTTTTACAAGAAAACGCTTCCCTGCCAAAGACGAGTTTTTACGGCTTGGCTTTGGAGGTGTTGATGGAAGTGATTTACTGGATTTGTGCTTTGATAATCGTACTGAATATTATCCAGATGTAGTTTTTGATAAAAATTAAATTTTCTCACCTTTTTGCTCAAAATTATGCAGTTTTTATTAAATCTACCTATATTCAAGTGTTGATAAAAAAAGAATGCTTTAAGCTAGAATAAAACAATATGCGTATTGCATATTCAAATATTCATACAGCAAAATATACTGGAGGCCATCAAATTTGAGTAAAAATCATCAAAATCGCTGGCGGTGGCTGGCAACTTTTTTCAAAAATGCTGGCGGGGAAAATAATATAATATATATAATATAATATATTATAAATCAGTAAACACTGAACTGAACATTTTTGTGTTATTTTTAGAGATTTTAGAGAGAGAAGGGGAAATGGGAACAGGATTTGCAAATGACATTAGCTGAACTAATTTCTGCAATATTTTGCATGATATGGTCATTAAATCATTGTGCTTCAGGAAAATGTCATCCAGTCACATAGCATGATATGCCAGTGATGCAGAAAAGAAGTCTCTCTTTTTTTTTTTACTGCATACCCGCCAGCCAATCAGAATCCAGTATTCAGACAGACTGAATAATACATTTTATTGGACTACTATTGCAAGTGTGTATTTGTTAACTTCATATATTTTCCCAAAGGTGACTACTAAAAGACCACTATCAAAGATTATACTGTTACCTTGAATGCTTCACAAATCATGGGGTATCTAAATAGGCTTTATTCACAGAATGCTGAAAATCTGGCCTCAGACTTTGTGCATCTTTTCAATCTTTATAACACATTCTCCTGTTCCAATCTGCTTCTGCAATCTCAATATCTGCGTCAACCCTGAACTAACATCATCTACTCAGGTAGGTGTGTTTCAGGGCAGTGTGTGCTTTAAACTGCTGCTGACGTGGACCTGGACACAGAACAACAGCCTGCGGGCGTATCGTATCCGTGGAAATGCTTGAAGAGGAAATCAAATTCGAAATGATATATGGCTCTGGGAATTGTATTAACAAATGGTTATAAACCGAAGGCTTTTTTAGTAAAGTGAATTTTGTATTGAAAGGCAAACGGGTTGCTGGATTAGAGGATTGTAAGAGAGATTTATTCATCCCGGGTTGTGTGAAGAAGCATGCAACCAGTCAGTCAGTCAGCCGGCCAAAAAACTCACTGACCCCCAGAGTGCGGAGCAATCCACAGCTCATTAGAAACACAGACACACACATCATGAGAACCAACCACACAACGTACATCTGAGAGGACTGCTGAAACAGCACAGGGCTAACAATCAGAGTGACAAAGTTATCAGAGCACAGCCCAATAATGGTAAATGAGTAAGCAACGCATGTGACTGACAGCTTTCCGTCTGCATTTGATCACAGAATACTTGCATCTTCCTGCTATGCTTCCTGAAATAGTCCACGTATGTCACTTGAATGTAAAGGAATTCGCTGCACTGACCAAAAGAAACCTACTCGGTTTGAAAGTGACTTATGTGTGAGCTGTGCTTCATATATCACTGCACTATTGACAATGCATATTTTTTACCGATGTGACAAGAATTTTTGATCACTTAGAAACATTTCTTAGCACACCTCTTCCTAATGAGCAAGATAATTTAAGGTATCATTCATAATAGTAGTTCTGTCAAACGATTAATCATGATTAATCGCATCCAAAATAAAAGTTTTTGTTTACATAATATATGAGTGTGTACTGTGTATATTTATTATGTATATATAAACACACACATATACAGTATATATTTTGAAATTTTTTACAAACGTTACAAACATTTTTCTTAAATATATACATGCATAGGTTTGGATTTTGGATGCGATTAATCGCGATTAATCGTTTGACAGCACTACATAATAAATTATGCTTAAAGGGGTCATATGATGCGATTTCAAGTTTTCCTTTCTCTTTGGAGTGTTACAAGCTCTTGGTGCATAAAGAAGATCTGTAAAGTTGCAAAGACTAAAGTCTCAAATCCAAAGAGATATTCTTTATAAAAATTAAGAGTCAAACACGCCTACCTAAAACGGCTCGTTCTAACACGCCCCCACATATCTACCTCATTATGTGGGAAGATTTGCATAACGCCGCCCTCCGATCACAAATGCAGACATGGTTCCATGTTTACAATCCGTTATAATGTTATCCGTTATGTTATAATCCGTAATTATATCCCCACTGGATGCAACAAATGCCTCGTTTATAATGGGTTTTAATGTTTATGTCTCGTCGACAGGGCATCACAATGTGGTAAGGGGCGTAACATTTCTGTCACACGCTTGAGGTGTTCGGCCAATCACAACACACTGGATAGCTGGCCAATCAGAGCGCACCTCGCTTTTCAGAACGATGAGCTTTGTAAAAATCGACACGTTTCAGAAAGGCGGGGCATAGAGGAGAAACAATAATGTACATTATGTGGAAAATAATGTGTTTTTTGAACCTTAAACTGCATAAACACATTTCATTACACCAAATACAGAAAATAATGTTATTTTTAGCAACATCATATGACCCCTTTAACTTAGTAAACATGATTGGTAAACTCTCTTTTCTCTCATTTTATACACGATTAATAAGCTATTCAGTTTGTCTTTTGCCTTACAATGGAAAAAAATTAACAACTGATTTACAGCGCCATGGCCTTTTGGTTCATTCATGCGTTTTGCAACACAGACATTTTGCTCAAGTGGCTTTTGTTGAAAACCTTTAGTGCCGTAATGAGTTGTTTTGATCCTAGCGCACTTACAGTAACCCAACAAACACACCAGAGGCCTGTGTGTTTTGATTGGCCCATGTGTTGAACAATGGAGCAGAGGCTGGCACGGAGATGGTGTTTTTCTGTGGCTCTCACACACAAAACCAAAAAACGAGCCCTCATATGATGCAATATTGGCTACGGAGCCAGAAATTATTATAAAACCTGCCAAAGCATGTCACTTCAGAGCCTCTTACGTAAGGCTGAACAATATGATGCCACCGAGGGAGAGAAAGAGAGACGTTTGTCTGTATTTATAATGCGATAATCAGAAGGGGCGCAGCGGCACGGATCATCTTTTTAATATTTTAGTTGGGGATGCACCGATACCGATACTGCGCTCCTGTACTCGTACTCGTAAAAATGCCCCGATACCAAACAAGCATACACAACTTTATTTAAAGCAGAAGTGAAACTAGCAGACTGGGTGAAATGCGCTAGGCTGTAAGTGTCTCTCTCATTCTGCACCAATACAAACGTGTGCGCGCTGCGTATGTTTAGCTTGCTTTAAGGCCAACCAAAATAGAACGCGTGTACTCGTGTAATGTAAGTGTGGAAATAACTGAAGGTAATATCTGTTTGCTAAATGAAGCAAAATAACATGATTCATATTAATATTATTATTACTATTATTTTGTTTCTGTACCCAATATTTAAAAAAAATAACAAATGCTGTGAAAATACAGGTATCGGTGAGTACCAATAATGAAAGTATCGGTATCGGACTCGTTCTGAAAAAAGTGGTATCCCTAATTTTAGTAATTCAGATGAATCCCAGAGGGCCACTTACTTTGGCAACATCTTTAACTGGTTCTCCCGCAGCTCCAGAATCTGCAGTTTGGTTAGTCTGAGGAAACAGAGAGAGAGAAATATATAAATATAAATTATTTACAAACTGACAACAACTAAGATTAACAAATGGTGCAAAAATAAAATAAAATAAAAATATGTCAAAGGTGCCTGAATAGTATATTATTTCCACTGGAAATAATATTTAGTGAAATTTCAGTTCAAAATCGACAAGCTTGAGGTTTAAAATGCAACACAAACATTACATAATAATGATTTTAAAGATAATAAATGTAACAGCAAGATGGTAATGAACACTGACATGTTTTTCTACAATAAAGGTGCTAATTTAATGTCCCAATACTGGTCTATTGACAAACGCCACATGCTCTAAATATACTGTCCTCTTTTTCGTATTCAGTAGAATTATGCAAATTGTTGTCCTCGGGTGACCTTACGGCACAAAACAAGAACTGAGCCGCATGTTGCATGTTGCATGTTCATTTGAAGTCTATTTCAGGCTGTGTGTGCATGTTTATTATGTCAAAAGTACTGCTGCATGACCTTTCACAGGAACTGTACTGAACGCACAATTCCTGAGGTTTTAGATATGATACGAGCTCCAGGAAACATTATAAGGTGCTTTCCGAAGAAATTTCGCACGTGTTATTTTAATAGATTAACAGCTTGCATAAATCAAAAAGCTTGATGGATGTAAGTTAAACCTGCTTTGCGTGTGCTTGGAAAACAATTTCAGTCTCTGGGAGAAGAGTTTTGTCTGTGTTATATTTTAATGTAGTACATTGGCCAGTCTTGAATCTAGATGCTGTCTGATCTGAAACAGGAGCTTGGCTTATCTTGTTCTGTCTCTGTGTGTGTGTGTGAGCGTGTTTGTGTGTGTGTGTGTTTGTGTTTGTGTGAGCGTGTGCGTGTGTGTGAGCGTGTGTGCGTGTGTCTGACCTGCCGAAGCTGGCCGGCAGGAACTCTAGGAAGGCGTCGTTCAGGTAGAGCTGGGTCAGGCTGAGGAGCTGCGTGAAGCCCTCTGGGAGTCTGCGGAGACACGAGAGTGTTTTATTACATCACAGAGAGAACGCACACACCAGTCATCTCTGCTGGCTATGTACCTACTTCGATATAGGGTTCACACTCGCTTCTATGATGGCCAGGACTTTACAGTTCTTGATATTTTCAGGAAACTCCTGGATGCCTGAAATTTTAAAGAAACAAAAGCGATTCAATTATTAATTGCTTGTTTTATGTTTTCTCTCTTCTTTGTGCCTAGGGTTTAGGAAACACTTAAAATGAGTCAATACGACATTGGGTTCCATTAACATATTGACTAACTGCAGACAATTAATATACAAACACATTGTTCAATAATTTAACTCCCTCCTGGAAACTTACACCATTAAAAAAAAAAAAAAAAACATTTTCTTCTAATGATTTTTATGCTATAGTATTTCTAATTCTATTAGGAATTCTATTTACAGATCTCAACTATTATATCTTTGAGTCTATAAAATAAAATAAAATAAAATGAAATGATAAAATTAAATAAAGTGATGGTACTTTACTTACTACCTGTCAAAAATTTGGAATAATTAATAAATAAATTATTATTATTATTATTTTTGACAGGAGTTTCTCATGCTCACCAAGCCTGCATTTCCTTTTTTCTTTCAAAAAAAAACATAAAAACTTTAATATTGTGAAATATTATTACAATTTAAAATAACTTTTTAACCAATTTTCTATTGGAGTATATTTTAAAATGTAATTTATTCCTGTGAATCAAAGCTGAATTTTTTGCATTACTCCAGTTGTTAGTGTCACGTGATCCTTCAGAAATCATTCTAATATCTATATTTGCTGCTCAAAAAAGATTTCCAAATATCAATGTTGAAAACATTTGTGTATTCATGTTGTGTATTTTTTTTTTTGTGGAAACCATATAGTATAGTATTATAAGTACTTCTAAGCACTACAAGTATTATCTGGAATCAGAATTTGAATATGATAAAAATAAGCTGTAATTCATATGAGCCGTATTACTATTTTTGCCCTACTTAAAAACACACGATACAATGTCAAGTAATAACAGTTGAACAACTAGGTCTTTATCAAAATCGACCACTAAAGAAAACACCCAACACCTAACGCTGTTTATAGAAACAACACAAGCTCAAGCAGCATTAGAGCTAGACTGCTTACTTCCTGTCCTACTAACCGCATGAGCTGGAGTGTGACGTTAATGTTAAGACATCGTTCCTCCAGTGCACTCAGATGCAAACCAGCGCGCAGAGCAAACCACAGAACACACACACACACACACACACACACACACACACACATCTCTGAGAGCTCACATCCACCACACAAGGTGACCCACTGCTAAAAACAGACACATCACGTCAGGAAGGGAGTATCAATTAAAAGTCATGGAAACCTGCAAATGAACATCTTTGCAGAAGGGGTTTAGAGCAAATAAATGCTACAACCCATTTGACTTGTGTAAAACAGACTAGCTGACAGAAATAAAGAAAGGATGATGAGGAATGTGTCTTAATAATGTAAAGAGGGTAATTTGGTTTTCATGTTGTCTTTGATTGCTTTGGTTAATTTGATTTGCATCTTTCAACTAACAGTAAGGAGTGTGGTGTATACACTACCGCTCAAAGATTTGGGGTCAGTGAGATTTGTTATATATATATATATATTTTTTTTTTTTTAAGAAATTAATACTATTCAGCAAGGATGCAATAAACTTATCAAAACTGATGGTGAAGACTTTTATGTTACCAAACTTAAAAAAATGTAACTAATTCTATCCATCAAACGTTCATCATCATGGTTTCCACAAAAAAACATGAAGCAGCAATTTTTGAGCAGCAAATCAGCATTTCAGAATGATTTCTGAAGGATCAGAAACTTTTATTTTTAACATATTTAACAGGTAGTTTAGGTTAAGTATTTTATTATATTATATATATATTTATTATATATATTTCACAATAATACTTTTTATTTTTAATGAACTTTTAAAAACATATATAACCTGCTTGCAAATATTTTTTATTATTGTTATGTAGTCTCATTAACCCTTTTATCTACTGAATGATTTTGTTCTAAAATGTTTTGTTAGTTTTTTTTATATAAATAAATGTAAGCAATTCTCCAATTAAATTAAATGTGGCTCATGGAATGTTTTTTATTCATTTCTTTTTTTTTTAAACATCTGATATTCTGGTAAAGCAGAAATGGCATTTTGCTGAAGAAAAAAAAATTGCAGCTTCATTTGATGTGACAGCGTATTGCATGAAAACAATGTTTTGAATGAGACTTCCTGTGCTGGGCTGAGCTCGTCCCTGTCTGTCACTACTTTATCAGATCCTGCAACACACCAGTTGAAAGATGAAGTGATGTGTAAACAGATTTGAACATGTGTTTGTAGTGTTGCGGTCTTCACTCATGCTTCAGAACGGAATAAACTGTTTCCAGTGACAAACTTCAGATTGTCATCAGTGTACAGGATATCAAATCGAGTGGGAAATCCTACGGCTCTGTTCCAATCCACAGAACTGCGGTTTAGATAGGCAACTAGCTTCCATTTGTTTATTTGCATTATTTCTAGTGCTTATAACTAACCATACTGCACACAATTCTAAACCAATGAACGACACATGAAAATGTTTATTTACTAGGATTGGCAAGTGTGCAGACTGAAATTAATGGTGAATTTTGTATTTCAGCGTAAACTGAAATCCAAAGCGTGGAGCTGGCCGTGATGAGTTCAATTACAGCGGATAAGGGGTCATCGAGTCAGTGCAGATATCAGTGTGCCTCCGCTTCGGTTATGGGTCGTCCGATAGCGTAACTGGACTCCAAAAAGGAAAAAGAAAGAGGAGATGAATTGGCCGCTTTTCTTACTGTTCTTGCTGACGTCGAGCTCCCTGAGATTGATGAGGTTAGCGATGCCCGGTGGCAGCACCGTCAGGTCGTTGTCCGGTAGACTCAATCGGTAGAGCAACTGGCAGTTGAAAAGTTGCTGTAAAGAACAGGAAAATGAGACATTTGGGAAACATTCATGGAAATGCTAATGAGATTAAACTTCATATGAATATCTGATGAGCAGTTGGATTCATTTCAAATAGATTTTGCAGTAATTAGTCAATTTTAATAAAAATGGGGTTTTCGATGGACCTTCATGTGATCTAGTCCCAATGCACTTTACAGAAAATAACATGTCTGTGACACAAGGTCATTCATGATCAAGGACAAGAAAGACAAGGGTATAACAATCAGGCTTTTGTAAAACTTTCTAAATTCAACTAAATGTTGAAACGACAAGTAGAGAAAACCTGATCGCAAATACTTTGCTTGTAGACATTCATTGTAACCATTCTGGCTGAATGATATACAGAATATTCATCATATAGTTAGTATGATTTTGCTAACAATATAAATAAAGCAATACAGTGAATACTAGGGGTGGAACGGTTCTCGGTAAAAAAAGTCGAACCGCACTAGGACCGCAGTTCAACTTAAATCTGACAATGCATCTGTAATATGGTTTGTTATAAATAACAACATGTAAAACAAACAGGGTTCAGCCATAGACTGTAAAAAAAGATGGACGACGCACCTTCACACACTTTCAGAGGAAAAGTGAAGCCGCCACTGTCCCCATATTGCGCTGATTTGGGACCCGAGTCTGCACAGTAGAGTGCGAAGTGGAGCCGCGTCCCGCCCACACTCCCGCTGAGTCGATCGCAAGAACACGCCCCTGACTCATTTTAAATTAGCCTGACTGCTCCAATTTTTGTCTGCTGATTGCCGTATAAGAGGCTTGTGTTGAAATAAGGTAAATACAACTCCAATCTCTTCCTGAAGATCCCGAAAAAGTCCGTTGGCGCCTCAGTTCACTCAGAGAAGCTGTCAGTCATGACGTCACACTCCCGTTTTTATAGCATAATAAAACCAAACGTATTTAATAGGGATGTAACGATTAACCGCGAGCCGGTTGAAAATCAATTCAAATATGTGACGATTCAAATCGGTTGAGATGCTAAACAAATCGCGATTCATTGTTAACTAACATTAATTGATACAACTTTTGATTAATAATGTTTTAGTAAATGCTGGAATCAACGTTAACTAAGATTAATAAATGCTTAATAAAAGCCGTGAAAAGGTTTTTGCCCCCTTCCTCCCACGGCACTTCCTGTTTGTTGCTGCCGTGTGTTTTGAGTTTGAGCTCCGTCAAGTTAATTCTTTGTCGTCTAATTTTTTATACACAATCTGTATTGTTAAAAGCGCTATATAAATAAAGGTGACTTGACTTGACTTGACTTTAGACATAGTTTAGGTTAACTAATGTAGTTAACTAATGTAGGGCCCTATGAAATGTTTTATTTTTTCTCACCTTAATTAACTTAATTTATTAACATTTATTTTTACAATAGCCCTATGAAATGTTTTGCATTTACATTTTTCTGGTTACCAAATGAAGGCATAAAATAGTAATTTCATTTATCTTTTAATCAAATGAAAAGTAAACAAACTTTATTTTTTGTCAAACAATGTTACTATTAAAATTAAAACATAAAAGAAATATTGTGTGATTATTCCTTAACAAAATAAAGTTTTAATAATTTTAGTAATAGTAGTTATATGATATGATGATGGTTTCTCTCAAATGAAACGACTCTCAGAGCAGTTCTGGAGATGTTCATGTATTTATGTCCTCATTTAGAGAGACAGCAGACACTGAAATCACAGTGAGCGTCACACGAGCTTCAGTATGTGAAGTAAACAAAACTGTGCGTCTGCACCATTCATTCACACACGCAGAACATGATTTAATTCATATTTAAATATTATTTTTGCTGCTTAATATGTACAGATACTAGTCCATATCACGATTTGATTTAAGTGTAATGACCTACTTTTGATTAATTCATCCAAACTTTGAAAAATTCCATGAAATTCCGCATTATACAGTAAATTCAGTTTTTATGACTGGATTCCACGATTCTGTCCGCATTTTCCACATCGCGGAACTCACAGGGCCCTACTGATGTTAACAAATGGAACCTTATTGTAAAGTGTTACCAAAATATTACTGTAAATATTACTATTTATTAGTATGTTTTGTCATATTGGTGCATATAAATGAAGAAATTATTAAATTATATTTGTACCCATCTAGTGAAAGAAACTGAGCATTTAAATTCTTAGATTAAATGTTTTGAATCTTCTTACAACATTTTATAGAAGCACATTTCTGAAACGGAAAAAAGTAATTGTGGCTTCTTGACTTACAATTCTAACTTTATTTCTCGGAATAGCAAGTTTATGTTTCACAATTTGGAGTTCACAAACTGATTTTTTTTTTTCTCAGAACTGTGACTTATAATCATCATATAATTTAGCATATCTCAATTTTACCCTTTTTTTCTCAGAATTGTCAATTTTGTCAAAAACAATTCTGACGTTTTACTCTCAAAATAAGTTTATATCTTGCCATTTATAATTTCTTTCTCAGAATTGCAAGTTTATAACATAAAATTTCATAATATTGAAAAAAACTATATTACAGATTTTAAACCATTTCATTTTAAACCACTGAAAAAAATTTAAATACATTTATACAGTATGCCATAAAATGCAAAAATAGCCAAATTCACACGTCCCAGTCCTGCAGTGTAAGCAAATCTCTAGCTTGTAAACAGCATGGCAGTAACAAACAACACGTGCTCTGGAGGTGCTGCTTGCCAGCTAAAATAAAGTGCAGCGTTTCACCGTCTAAGCATTGAATTAACTTTTTGGAGACATGCAATGCAAGCGTGTTAGTGGTGCAAGAGTGCACTCGTACTTTGGGCAGCTCCTCGATCTGGTTGGCGTCGAGGTAGAGCTCCTCTAGGGTCTTCTCGAAGCTGAAGATCTCTTTGGGGACCTGCTCCAGGCTGCAATGTGAGTAGTCCAGCGAGGTGACGGGCTCCTCCTCGCCCCGAAGGCAGCGGCACGGCAGCAGCCGCACAAACAAACTCCGCTTGCTGCTCATCCTCACCACAGCTCAGGCACTAGAGAGGAGAAAGAGAACATGATCAGCACCTCAAGAACCTTAATAATTCATGGACAGGAACACTGCGATACAGGATAGTGGTCAAAACAGCTTGGTTTACAGCTAAGATGAACACGGTGGAATCCAGCTTTTTACGGTTCGTAATTGATCTTGAGTAGGTATTGTTGAAGTAGGTGTTGCTCATTTAAACACTTTTTAAAATAATTTTAAAGTAAAGTACTTTTATTATGATTATTTATTTATTGTCATTTTAGATTTTTTTTTTTCTTTTGGCAAACATGTCCTTTAAATGTAGTAATTTTAATGTCATATTTATTCATTTTTCTACAAAATATCTTCATGTTTCGACTAATGTCGCAAACTTTTTAAAGAAATCTTGAAAATAAATAAATAAAAATAAACACTGATTTAAACTAGTGTTATTACAGTTAACTAAAACTAAGTGTTTTCGTTACTTGAAATAAATGTTAACTAAATTCAAATAAAATATTTGAAAAAAAATGCTTATTAATGCTAGTTGCCAAGTCATCATTTACCATTTTAATTTAGTTTAATTTAATAAAATATAAATTATATATAATTTAATAAATAAAATTATAATATAATATAAATAAATATAAATACACACAAAAATACAGACATATAAAACCAAAGACTACTAAAAATGACACAAAAAAAAATATGACTAAAACTTTAAAATCAGAATGAAAGGAGAATATAAAAAACCTGATTCAAAATATTAATAAAAACTATATAGTATCTCAGTGACACTAAAACAACACAAACATAAACGACAAAATATGACGTGTGAAAACTCCATTTATGATACTGAATTCTGTTGTGAATATGTCGTAAAGCATTACTAGAATAAAAATTAAAATCTGCTATTTATCAACAAAGCTTTTTGTCCTATCTTTGGCAGTTTGAGAAATCACTGGCTAAAATTTATTTAGTCATTATTATTTTTTTTTTCAATGAACAAATTAATGTTTCCCCGACTAATTTTGTTGGCGAGATTAACACAGGTTTGGACATAAAAATACTGCTAATACAGCCGACAATTACCCATAATCTACAATAGCACTGAGAGGAGCACATTAACATTCATTAAAACCCATTTATATTCATGGCTGGCCTGAAAACAGCATCATTATACGATGTCCTTTCATTCTGTTGAAATGGAAAAAGGCCCTTGATACGGCATCAAAAAGGCCGGCCCAAGGTTTGCTCATGAATCGACACAAGAGCGGTTTTCACAGGCGCTGCTCTACAGTCATACAAACACAACAGCAACAACAATCACTGCTGTAGACACAATTCCTCTCTGGCCCGTCATGAAGAGCCCTTCAATCTGCATGTGCATGACAACAATGAAGCGCCAATGCTAATGCTATTTAGAAGCATGAGCGACGTTAAAATCTGCTGAGAAAACCATAAAAACAAGAACATTTGTTGCACAACCAGAGCCACGGGAATTCAGTTCTGCATCATTCACAGCACGTCAATGAAAGTTTACTTTAAAAGACAAGGTGAATTGTTGTTTAACAACCTATTAAACTTCCTGAATGTCACATGTTTTTTGTAGGGAAACGGGATATTCGATAAGAAAAATCAGTAGCTTGGAACATCATCTATTGAAATTGATTGACTCATGAACAGAGAGTGCTACATACCAGAATGTGGAGTATGAAAAACCAGAGATGGGTATCAGATCAGATGGTTTAGACTTTATAAGTCATTTATGCATTGGGTAGAAGCTTGTTTTCACTGGTTCTGGTTATCTGTATCTGTCCACATTATCTATCTATGGCATCAATACACCACAATCTGCACTTTCAGAGCTGTGTGTGAGCTGAAAGACCACCGAGCACAAAACCTTCACCACTGGGGCCGCAGAGAGCTAGAAGAGTCACTACTGGATCACATTCATAACGCCACCGACACTGTGTGTCCTGCTACCACTGCATGCCAAATAAATGCTGGTATTAGGCATGGGCTGGTATGAGATTTTGACGGTACGATAACCTTAAGCAAAAATATCACGGAATCACGGTATTGTCGTTACAGCTCTAAAATGTGTTATTTTTAAATGACTGGGTAAAAAAAACTAACTTTTTTCCGCTGAACACAATATATTTTGTTTTTGAGCAACATACAGAATATTAGGAACAGTAGAATTTGTTTATTTTTTTCTTTGATTTGTTTCCTAAAAAGAAGAAAAATAAAGACTAACATCTTTATTTAACCTAAATCTGTAACTACAGTTATCTAATTTTAGTTATATAATTCATATACATATCATTTCATATCGTTTAGTTATATAATTTCATATACATAATTTGATTTAATAATAACCCAATTTGAAGCAAAAACAGAATGTTCTGTTCTGACTAGCTTTGTGAAATTATACTACATGCCTGAAAGAAGCAAACAGCAGAAGCTCTGAATGAGACGCAGATTCTCTCTCTGACAGCAGGAGGCGCTCATGGAACACCAGATACAGTCTTTCCTTGGTTACCGCCGTAAACAAAGCAGCACTGTGCTGAAACACTGCTTTAATATGAACTATACAGAGACGAGATTAAAAGAAAATACCACGTAAACTTTTCTGAAGACAGACAGTTCCCCTCAGAAACACATTCATATAAACCCCCAAATCAATATTGAGGATTTTCTTCCAATAGTTTGTGCATCATGAACAGTGAGTGATCTGCCTGCTACAGTATTTTTCTCCGCGCGTCTCTGGCCTGTGTTAACGAGCGATTACAGACTTCGTATTTTCACATAAATGACATTTTGGAAAACGATTGCATTGCAACGCAGTTTGTGCAAGTCCAGAACAGAGACGAGTTGCTTGCAATAAGACAAAAAACGGCCAGTTGCCGATCGCGCAAGTTCCAGGGAAAGCTCCTTAAGTTCGTCCATCCTACACACACACGTGACTGACCGCTCGCTCGCACCAACAGGAGGAGGGTCATGTTACTCTCTACACTGCACTCAACCTGAGAGATTCCTACACTTTCAGTCTTTGAGGAGACATGAAAAACAGCGCATACCGCAGGAACGGTATAACGGAAAATATTAGCGGTTTTGAATTATTTAAATATATAACATTATTATTAGTATTATTAGAATAATATTGTCATATTATTATTAATATAATTCAATAATTAAATTATAACATTTAATAATAATAACTAATATTTTAATAATTATATTAACATTGTTGCTATAATTATTTTAACAAATAATGCATTATTGTATAGTTATTATTAATAATATTAACAATGCTCATTTAGTTATATTGAAAACAGTAAGTAAACATTTTCAATAAGCTTCTTTTATTACATGACAATCTTATGTAGCTTAAATTAGACAACCAAAAAAATAATGTTTAGTAAATTACAAAAATAATGAATTATTATTATCAATATAACATTATTTTTTATATTATTATTATTTAATTATTTAATTATAAGACATTTATTAAAAAAGTAAAAATAATAACTTTAGTAATAACCAATTCATTATTATAACAAATAAAATGTATTATTGTATACAGCTATTATTACTATTAATGCTACTATTATTACTATTATTAATAGAGCCGACCGATATATCGTTTTGCCAATATTATCGGTCGATATAAACATTTTTTTACAGAACATATAACGCAGATAAAATGCTTAAAATTGTGTAATTACTTAGTTTGTCCAGCAGAGCACGCTCCATTGTTTGCTACTGGTGACCTGGATGAAACGCTTTAAAGCTTAAGTCTATGGAAAACCATTAAAACTTTGAACGGCCATATCTCCATAACGGCGCAGCGAATCCGCACCAAATTCGGGAGATGCCTTCAGCTCGAGGAACCCTCTCGAACGCGAATCGAGTGTACGTCTAGAGGCCCGCTTTCGAATGAGACCACCCCCGCGTCGATAGCCCCCGGGGTCCGGGAGTTACGGGTGGTTAAATTCGCGGTCCGGCGCCGACCGATCAAGCGATCCCTGGGGCTACCGACACGCGGAGGGTGGCGTTCGAGAGGGTTCCTCGAGCTGAAGGGATCCCCCGAATTTGGTGGAGATCCGCCGGCGCATTCGCGAGATTTCACATGAAATTCCGCCATGATTCCAGTTCCAAGGGAACGTACACGTAACATTCAAAGGGCATTAAAGTGCGGGAGACGTGAATTTATATTGTATTTATTTACAGAGGTATATTATGTCACACACTTCTCTAGTAAGTTTTGTCTGTGTGTGAAGACAGTAGCTCAAATCCGTGAATGAATGATCCGAAGTGAAAAACTTCAAAGGAATAAAGTTGAATGGAATTGAATTGAATTAAAGTTGAATAAACTTCAACTTTACTGTTCAGTGCACTGATGTCAGACTCATTTTTGATAATAAAGTTTGTTAAATTGTTAAATGCCGTGCCTCCATTACGTATCTTTGTCACGTCATTATAAGTGTTTGATCACCACATTTGAGTGATCATTGCAAAAAATCTGTTTATGTAT